ATTACTAATAGCAGCGTATTCGAAAATGTATTTTAATATCAAAACTAATCATTAAATAAAAAAAGAAACCAAAAATAAAAACCAGAAAAAGGAAAAAAAATGGACATTAAGTCCCGGTTGGTAACACCAACCGGGACTAAAGGTCCTGCCCCGTGGCGGTCCCTGGCTAGGCCTGGAGGCCCCCTTTACTCCCGGTTGGTGTTTCCAACCGGGACTAAAGGTCCTTCTTTAGTCCCGGGCGACTAAAGGATGGTACCTTTAGTCCCGGATTGGTGCTCCCGGGTGGGAAACCGGGACTAAAGAGGTTTCCCAACCGGGAGCAAAAAGTCTTGCTGCACCAGTGGCATGCGAACTGATTGACTAGAGAGTCTTTTTTTTTTGCAGTCTATTTAATGGATTTAGATTTATTCTTATTTTACTAAATGTTTTCCTTTTTTTACTAAATGTTTGTTCTAACGCACACTTTATTTTATTTTATTTTTTTGGATCCACTTATCCAATTTATTTTGAAAGATCAATTAATATCTTTTTTTTATTCAATCAGTTAATATCTTGGTTGTGTTCTGCCTGGAGCTCAAAAAGTTGCCTCGTTCCTGGTTAGTTATGTAGCCGGACTCCACCAAGCTTTGTGAACTCTGACTCTGTTTCATTTGAAGTCCACCGATAGCTGCTGCGTCTCCCTTCCATGTTCTTCTTTTATTTCAGCAAGGCAGCTTTAATCCATCAGAGTATCTCGAAGCAAGAAGCATTTGTCCAGGTTTTCCATAATCTTTGACCCCTCAGTTTTCGATGATCCTCAGTTTCCCAGATTTGATTTTCTCGAACATTTGAAACCCCTTTCCTGTTTTGTTTTACATTATTCAGTTCCTTTCCCTTTTGTGCATATAATGTTCACTATTCGCTTCGTTGTTCTTGTAGATTGACCAGATCTGTTGTTATTTGCTTATAGAAACCCCCTTTATTGTTGCCTTTCCCTTTTATATTAATTTGTTCTTCTCTCCATTTTGAGAGTTCATTTGAGTATCTCGAACAGGCGCCTGTAATTTTTTTTACTATTACAATTGTTTCAGTTTAGGTTGCGTGGATTCACTTAAGCCTCAATCTTTGTACCCATTTTGATCATTACAATTGTTCCAGTAACATATATGTTAGCCACATATTGTTATTAGTCCATTCGTTATTGATTTCATATTGTAGCCTTATGAACAGGTCCTGTAATATTTTCTACTCTTACAATTGTTTTGTTGTTCATATTTATCAGACCTACTTGTTGTTAATTCTTGCAGCACATTGGAAGCTCGGTTCTAATTTTGTTGTGGTAGCTGCAATGAAGCTTCGTATCAGCATGTTTAGGCACTTGGAGAAGCTAATTGAAGCTCTTGGAGGCCGTGCACCTGAACTTGTTCTGAAAGACTCCACTTCTGGGAAGATGAAGTTTGTTCTGTCTTTGGATGTCACCAAGATTCCTTGCTCTCATGTTTCCGTTCTTCCCGATCGTATCAGCTGCACTTGACCGCTGATATTTAAACAATTGTTCTCTCAATAGAATAGAGCACGGGAGTTAAATCAGTTTTATACGTGTTGTTATTAAATGAATCATTGTTGGATTCCCACATGCACCCTTGCTGAGAAATAGTACCCCAGCTTGGTATACATTTTGTTACTGGCTATTTGCAACTTTGCTCCATGACACCAGACTATCTTTAACTTCTTATAATTCCACTAATGTTTATTTTATCTTTTTTTGTTTTAGCCTATGCATTATTGATTTCATCGAGTACTAGAAAGGCCGCGCGGTCCCGTGGGATGCTTGCATCATGGAGCTAGCTGTATATATAAAAGTGGCAGTGAAAGAGTTATATTGCCATTAGTGTTACTTAGCTTGTGTGCAGAACAAATAACAATATTACAAGATAATTAATATAGAAAAAGCAAATACGAACAAAGCTACTAATAATGTTTTCTTGTAACCAAACTTCTCGATTTAGTCCTCTCTTTTCAGATCTTATTTACTTTGCATAAGTGTCTTGCCTGCTCTTTTATAGTTTGAACCAAGAAGCATGCTCTGTTTTACTTTTCATAAATCCCTTCCCTTCTCTTTTATATTCATAAGTATTGCATTCCCTGCTCTTTTATATTTACCAGATCCTTTGTTTTATTATTTTCCTTACCACTGATTTGTTGTATATCCTTTTACTAATCTTCCTCTGGTTTGTCTACAGGTTTGGCTTGGATCCATTAAGGCGTCAACCTTAACCTGATATGTTTCATTGTTAATGTAGTACCTGTTCTTGTTGCTTAACTTCAGGTAGCTTTCTTCATTTCTCCCATTTTCAATTATTTTGTCAGTAATCTTTGGAGGTAACCATGTCTCCTTTAGTTCACATTACTAGTACGCACATACCTTATTTTTTTTATTACCACAAGCCATGTTTTTCCCCCATTGTCGTGTTAATCCTTTTGTCAGCCAGCTTAGACATGTCCCCTTTCTAAAAAATTGTATTAAAGCAGGTTTATATATTTTTTTACTACATGGCCCACCGTTGTAAGTATATATCCGTTCGATTAGTAGACAATGCATTCGAACTGATTGACTAGACAGTCCTTTTTTTTGGCAGTCTATTTAATGGATTTAGATTTATTCTTATTTTACTAAATGTTTTCCTTTTTTTACTAAATGTTTGTTCTAACGCACAGTTTAATTTTTTTGTTTTTTTTTGGATCCACTTATCCAATTTATTTTGAAAGATCAATTAATATCTTTTTTTTATTCAATCAGTTAATATCTTGGTTGTGTTCTGCAGCCATGTTTCTTTTCCTTTTCTTATATATAGATCTATCCTTTATCCTTTTAATTTCAAGACGTTTTATTCATCCCTATGTATATTGTGATATATTTTGTTCTATACAGATTTCCCTGTTCTCCTGAAGCATTTATACTACTTTGTTCACATCCATATATATAATACTTCTTCTTCATTTAATCACAGCGTAGGTAAGCTACTAATTCACTTTTGAAAGCACAATAATTTTATAGAAGTTCTGCATTCATTTTTGTTCCAATTAATTCTATAGCATGATGTCAATGGAGGCCTCTCATTTGTTGTTCAGTAGTATTCCATTTTCTCACTACCGAATATGTATCACTCTAAGTGCTCCAAGAGCTAGAAGTTACCAGCTTGCTTGATTTTCTTGTTGCTTCACTTTCTTATTTTAATTTATTCAAAATAAAACATGCTCTCTTGTTAGTTATTGCATTTTATTGCGAAAAGCTTGTGATCAACTACTGATCTTAGGAAGCAAGAGTACCCTTTTACATTTACATATAAAGGTGATTGTGTCAACATGCTGAATTTGCTATTTTGGTTTAGCTTCAGTGAATATTCAAAAATATGATCATTATATTCCTAAAGATTACCTAAAAATCTGGCTTTCAAGCTTCTTAATTGTTGCTGACTGAAAAGATAGCCAAGTAAATTTGCTCGCCATGTTTTAGGTTCTGAAGCTGTTCATTTGTTCTGTGCAGGGGCATTATGTAGTGTTACATGCTAGTCCTTTTTGGTATGTGCCATTTGATTGTCAGTTCGTTCAACTTTCTCTTGTCATGGAACATGAAACTAGGTTGTGAGCATAGATAGTATAGTCTTTCTTATGTAGAAGTAACAATTATAGTATCACATATACTTATAAATATACCAAATTGTCTTTGGCTCATCTTCATTTTTATTGCTCAATGCGTACACGGCTACTCATCTGGTTCTCAAGTAATTTTTTTGGTGACCATCATCAGAATTGTTTTTGTTGCGTCCCTCGATGCAAGAGAGCTGTACTGGACAAGGGATCTCCTAGCAATACCGATTCAAGTAATTTCAGAGTTACCAGAGTTTCAATTGTTGCTGCGCCAAAGCACGACTCCTGCAATTGCGTGAGCTGTTGTCACATCATGTTTTTTTTTTGGGAAGTGTTGTCACATCATGTTGGCACTCCCGTCCGGATTGTAGTATACTCTCTCCCAGAACAATTGCATGTTAGTATGTTACATACTCCCGTCTGGATAAGATTGTAAAAGAAACCATTATATATATGTTTTTTTTTACTTTTTAGGCAAGTTGTACACTAATGTACCTAAGATGTACTTGTTATTGTGGAGTGAAGTTTTTTTTTCTCATAATGTACTATTATTTACTATAATAGCATTTTTAGTTAAGAACATATACATACATAAATACATTCATATATATTGTTTCTTCATGTTTGGAGTCGCATATTAAGCATGAAGAAAAAAGAATTAAAATTTAACATTGAATTTGTGATTAAAGCCATATGAAATTAACACGTAGTACAAGTGTGGTTTGATTAAATTCAAAAACAAGCAGGTTCTATTTTACATGCTTGGTGTACAAATATAAGTACTCTGTCCCAAAAAAAAATGTAACTCAATGTTACGTTAAAATATGTCAAGTTTAACTAAATTTATATAAAAAATACTAGTATTTATCATACTAAATAGGCACTATTAGATTCATCATGAAACATATTTTATTAGTATATTTATTTAAAGTCATAAATATTAATATTTTTAACTATATATTTAGTCAAACTTTATACACTTTAACCGAGAATACATCTAGAAATGTATTCCGTTTTGAGACGGATATAGTATATTCATGTGTGAACTTTCAATTTTGTTTTGTTAACTCTGGTGCGGCATACCCAGCACTGATAATAATAAGGGTAATAGGTACTCCTTCCATCCCATAAAATGTGTTATTCTTACTTCCCGAGAAGTCAAACGTTTTATATAAAAATATATTAATATTTATAGTACATAATTAGCATTATTAGATAGACCATTCAATCTATTTTCATAACAAACTTTTTTGAATATACAAATGTTTCTAATAACGCAAGAAGTGTAATTAATAACCCAAGCATGCATATTTGCACTTCCTGACAAGTATATCGTTTACATTAAAGTCTTAATAGCATGGAACATAAGTTCACCAATTCGTCAAAAGCATTCTGCAAAAGTTGTATTTTCCTTTTCCCAATTCTATTCGCAATGGTACATTGCATTCCTTAGGTGGATTGACAATGTTGCCATCCATCTTCAGAAGCTGGTACATTAGGTTCATCCTTTGCAGTTGTGTGGCCTCCTGAAAATATTGAAAACGTTATCATTCATATTCACAATAACTATCTTAGACCTTATTTTTTTCCCGATTTATTTGTCTCACCTTAGTCAACACCCTTGTCATGACTTCCCCATCGAAGTATCTTGCATAGAAGATTGTATACAATCCAGTGTTGATGCTGTTATTATAAAAAAAATAACTATAATTAATTTGTCTAATACTTTTTTTTCTATTTAATATATAGTAGTAGTGTGTTACCTGTTAGCTTCTCGCCCGATGACATCAATGTATTCAGTTTCCCAATTATCAATGTTGTTGTTATTGCTATTTGTGAGATTTCTCGAGCACTCGTTCATACCAGAATTGAGTAGCAAAATGTAGCCTTTGTGATTATCCTCCAATACTGAATTTCCTAGTTTCATGTTTTTTGGATCTAGCACCACTACCTTCTTCCTCTCGAAATCCCATATATAAAGGCACCAATGCCACTCCACAAGTATTGGCGCCATGACCTGCAGTTATTTAAACTTGTTTAATATACGTTGAAAAAAATAAACTTTCCTTTTTTTTATCCACACATATCACACTGTTCAATCATCATGTTGTTGACTTTTTTTTAGTATGTGTACTTACAAGCCTGCAGTCTTCTACGTTGTATGATATATGTTCACCCAAGAACATGTCCTTAACCAGTAATGTCGGCTCGCCTCTATCTTTCTTCAGTCCTCAAACCTGTTATTTGTCACCCGCCTTAATTAGTAAGTCCATCACGGATTACATTGAAATTTACAATACTACATTCTTACTGAAAACAGTTAGAACAGAAACATATTGTTGTATTATTTTATCTGATGCATAATACCATCTTTATTTTTTGTTGTACTTACCGCAAAATCAGTCGGTAGGAAATGTCTCCACCTCTTTTCATCCCATCTTTCATAAAGTTTATTATCCATCTGTTGGTACAACCTAACAATTGCGTCCATAATATTAGGAACAAAGTCGTTTTCGCCTTGGAACACCCCTTGCATCACTGCCCCTCCAATTTGTATTTTGTTTGGGAACATATGCATGTACCACACGCTGCAAGTATTAGCAATAATTAAGTTACTCATCTAAAGGTGAACCATTTTTTTATTATTTCGTAATCACAACATACCTTGCTGTGTCTTCATCATTCATATGGCATAGTGCTATTTGTGACGCCAGTTGAGCTTCCAATGGCGCATCTGGGTGTGTCATCCCTATTGCAAACGGAGACACTCCGAATCTTGAATTTCTGTTTATATACTGTATTACCACTTTCATGTCGTTGACAATTATACTATTAGCATCAGTTTTTTCTGGGTCATCATCTGAAGAGATGTAACAATTTGCAATAATGAGTACCGTTAAATATAAGCTACTTCCATAATCAGACATTTTATTTTTTTTTGAAATGTTATAGTATTCCACCTCGAAGGCATATAATTCCTTGTTCTACTGCTGATGTTACTATGAGCAATGGCGTTGGGCAGTCCAGCTCTTCAGGAACAGTCTCATCGGTATGTTCGCATTCATCCTTCTCTGTTGCTACTTGTATGAATATAATTATAAATAATAGTCAATAGATAATTCTATCACATGTATAATTTCTACTAAGCTAAATATTTGAGAGAACTGTTTACCATTTGTTGATAATCCCATCTGTTCTAATTTTTGTAGAACTCCACGTTTCAATCCACTGCTTATTATTGTTCTCTCAGTTGACGGCAGTTCTCTACCCAATGAGATTCCACCTGGAGATGTGAAGTTATTATCAGTACTTGTATTTTGTAATTCTTTCCAATATATATTTATGTATTAAAAGATCTGAATTTAGTTTGTCTATAACATATTGCTGTAGACTATACCCTTACCTTTCATGCTTTGCTCGCCTAACCAACTTTCACAGTAACTGTCTCTTTCAATGTTTCTCCGTCTATATTCTATTTCTGTTTCTCCTTCTGATAAGTTTTGACTACCAAGATGTATACATTTAGTATACAAACCGTCATTTATATGACTGCTCTCAGATCCCTGGTCTCCTTGTTCCACTTTTTTTTGGATTTCACCTTCATTTGGCTCAGCTGTTTTCCCTTTCATTACTATATTAGTTGTGCTTGTGTTTCCTTGATCTTTAAATCGTGAATTTGCAGAGGCTCCAACCATCTTAGAACATCCTTATGAATTCATAATAAAAACATTTAATCAGTTATCCTTTTATGTTTGCATTATTTCTACCTAGTTTTTTTCTGCTATATGAGTAATAGGAAAAGTAGTTTTGTTTTATTGTACAAAGTTCATTGTTACCTTGTTGTTCATTTCCATCTTCATACATGATTCTGGAATATTCCAGCAGCGCCGAATGTGTATCATCAGTGATATTCTTCACTTTTATTGCCCTGTCCAATATAAATTTCACTTCTTCTCTTTTGCTTGCACTGTATATATCATCTTTTGTCCTTAACTCCTGCATCAAATTACCAAAAATGTGATCTTGTTTATACAATTTGCATTTTTTACAACAATTAAAGTCTAATACTGTGGTTTTAGTGATTCATATACCTTTTCGTTTTCTGTTCTTTTGTTGTTCCTAAAAAACTTGTCCCGGCTATAAATCACTTTGTCATCTTCAAGGAGCTGTTGGAAATGAGAAAACATTATTGCTGGTTATTGTAGCCATAAACATTGTTTAAAATAATTGTTGTTCAAGCTTTGATATTTTCTTACCTCATGCCGACCATATTCTGCCATCAACGTTGCAGCCACATGTTGCCTATCCTCTTTCTCTAGTGTTTTCAGAAGACGGTATGGATAGTCTAGAAATCTGGGCAACAATTTTTTTGATGGAGTCAAGTCCCCAAAGTCGATGTTGTCTATGTAGAAAACATGCACCGACATAGGCAATAAATTATGAACTTTTCCAATCCATTTGGATATGTTGCTTTTCATTGTCACATGTTAAGTTATTTTCATCTTACCACAGAGAATAACAAGCACCCGTCTAATGTCACTGTCTTGTTTCCAAAGGATATTGATTGCTGAATTCTTCTTGATGACTGAATCAAACAACGCAGGACATATGCACACCAATTAAATTCGCCAACGAATGATGGGTTAACTAGGTTCCTGTACATTTCTTGGTTGATCCTAGCTTTCCCTCCCCTTGGTCCCAAGAAATAAGCATCAGCACATAACACAAAAGCCACCTTGAATGCCTCTCTCTCTCTCTCTGATGCTCATTTTCCTTCCATAGTCACGTGTTACTATATCTTCTACATTTTCCAACGTTATTTCATCTTCATTCTTCAACATCAATAATTTTTTTATTCTTGAGACCTCGATTTCAGAGATTTGTAAGCTAAAGTTTACAGGTCTAGCTTTCCTAGGAATGCCAAGGACAAGCTCCACATCGTACTCATTAACTATCAGTTTCCTTCCCTTGCTAAATTCAATTTGTCCAGTCCTATGGTCCATTCTCCTCTGTACCCAGAAAGCAAGTTGTCTTGGGAATTTGGTTTGTGGTAACAATTTCAGCAACATTCCAAACCCCATTGCTTTAACTATTTCCTGCTTTTCCAATCCCAGTCTTGTTAAGATAGAATTCAGATTTGATATGGAGAATGCAGTTCCTATTCTTTGTTCTGGAACCGAATTAGTAGTTTCTAACTTTCTCGCCTCTGACAGGCAGTTTTCATCAGACACAGATTTCGCTTCAACCCTTTTCTGAAAGCCAGTACCCATTCCTGTTATTGTATTGTGGAAATAGTACAAAATTCATCGATTTAGTTTTAACATTCAGCTTACCAAATCTACTGTTTCTTAAACGCAATAGATTGATTAGAGAACTGACCTCCAGATCTAATTGCCATTTTGCTGAAGCTTCCCGCACTGTTCCTCGGTGTAGAAAATTTCGGCGCCTGCTTCTAAGTTTAACGAATTCCTCCGCTCCATGGATTTGGTATCCTCAGTAGCTCGCCCTTTGCTTATTTTCGAGCTGGAAATGCAACTGAATGAAGCAGAGAAATAGTTAGGTATTCAGTCAAGATAGGGGACACCATTCTTGTGGATGTATGGTTGCTAACCTTTTTTTCTCCCCGCCCGTCTGAATCATCTTCTTGGCCACTGGCCACTGTTGTTCTCCCTTTCGGTAGGTCTGTAGTTTTTGCAGGATGAGAGAGATGAACAGTGTATGGCAGCCGGTAGGTGTACTCCGCTGGAGTGTCCTTTGCTCGGCCCCTTCCTTTTTCATTCATACGTTAGGTCATCGTGTTTGCCCTTCCTTCAACGGCCCATTAGTTGAACAGTAGAGAACTCATTTTCACCCTATTATTTATTTCTTTTGCTTCAATTTAATTTTTTGTCTCAGGCTGTATTTTTTTTGCTAACTCAAATTTTCGTTGGGGTTTGTCTCAGTTATCGCAACACCCCGTCGGCCGTCCCCATCAACCCATGCGGCTGCACGGATGGGGCGGCCGGGCCCCTACAGACTCGATCGTGCATCGGCCAGCGCTCTTCTCCGGTCGGCGTGCTTAGGATTTGAAGGGCGCTCTTCTCCGGTTGCAGAGAGATCTTCATCAATGCCTGCCTACAGCACTAGTATAGCTACACTGTGTACCTAGTACTAGCTTGCTAGCGGTACTGTAGTATATGTCTTTTGTAAGAGAGGTGTTCTGGAGGTACGGTAGTATATGCCTTCATAATGTATTATTATTTGATATAATAGCATATATAGTTATGAACATATAAGCATGGAGGAAAAGAATCCAAATTTGGCATTGAATTTGTGATTGAAGGCACATGAAATTAACATGGTGTACTCGTGTGGTTTGATTAAATTCAGAAAGATGCATGGTGCATGCATGTACTCTCTCACAGCATTTCAAGCCTTTTTAGCAGCAGTACCACACCCGCACTGTGCTCGAGCGAGCGAGGTGAGTGCCGTCCGTCCGTCGTGCCAATTCACTTCGCTCTGGGCAGGAATTGATGCGTGCATGCTGCAATGCAATTTCAAGCCCTTCTATTAATGACCCGCACAAGATCAGGGATGAAATCTTAGTACAGATAGCGAGTTGCAGCAACATATACTATATATAATAATAATAATAATAATAATAATATAATACTGTGATCACGTGAAGACCTGCATGCAAGGCTTAATTTCTGCTCTAGCTCTACTACAGCGTCTGTACTACATCTTCCTTCTTCCTCGCTGCTGGCTGCTGCTCTTCTTCCTTTTTGAAACCTCTGTAATTGTCTCTGTGTGCATCTTCATTTCTCTCACTCAACCTCAACTCCTTAATAAACCTTTACTAGTACAACAGTTAATGGCACATGCTGGTTCAGATCCGTTAACACACACACACACACACACACACACACACACACACATATATATATATATATATATATATATATATATATATCATCAGATGGCTAGCTTATATACATACTATACACACTCCTATACGATTCATATAGTTGCATGCATATGCATGCTTGCTTGGTATATATAAGCATATATATGATGAGATCAAAATTCTTTTTCGCCAAAAGCTCAAAATGCAATGCTCTTAAACTGAACATACAAAAGCATACATCTCATTTTTGACAAGATGAAGTGCTGCACTAACTAAACCGATGCATCTTTCCCTATGTAGGAAGTTTTCTGTTCTTGTAAGCAAGAACTTTTTTTGGGGGGCTAATAGGTAACTATTACAAAAGTTTTAATCTCCAACTACAATCACAGTAGCTGTAGTTGGATTCCTACAGTCGAGCATGCATTGAGCGCCCATACGCGTATGTGCGTCGTCGCTTCATGTTGGAAGTCATCTCGGTGTAATCTTCTTGGTCTATTGGGAGTTGATTGGTCGACTCGGTGTCACTGTTCCGCTGATTCAGCTGTTGTTGGTTGCCCTCATTCGCATCCCCTGTTTCAGCCAGATCGTCAGTGTCTCCTAGTCCCTCGAGTTGTTCTTCATCCTGTACATAGACCTGTTTCGAACGGATCATCAAAATTGATGTATACACATTTGTTGGGGATGTCAAAACTGAATTCAATGCTGTCGAGCACACCTTGTTCGGCGTATGCTGCGCAGGTGGAATATCATTCATTGCTTCCTGATCCATGCTCTGTTCCATGTCATCCTGCAATAAATGTGTTCCTCAATCCTCTCTGCATCTGTGAATCTTTACTCTACTGATTCATTGTTATGTAACAGAGCATAGTAAACTTACCTAGTTTGTTCCCGCAGCTTTTGCAGATTCTGTAACCTTACCTTGATTGGTTTCATCGCTGAGTTCATCACTCGACGACAAGCCAGCTTCATCTTCAGCCAAGTACCCCGTCGTGCGATCTGAAACTTGGCGATAGTTTCCGTTGCAGGCACTGGAAATCACCTCTGCTTCTCCTTCTCTGTCGTCGACTGCCGATGAGATGGCTGACTCAATGTTTTTGGATGAGGTGATGTAGTCAGACATTTTGGTTTCTTCTCGTGTATGGAATAGCAGGGCTTTTCCAAGCTTATGCTAGTAGTTCTGGACACAATGCCTTCCAAGGTCGACCTGCGTCCTCAGAAATAGTGCTGTTGTTTGTGTAGTTGCCTCACTTTCCCTCCCAAACCTGAAATTCAAATTTTGGACGCACGGTACCAAATGCAGTGTTCCATTTTCAATCTCATTTGTACAGGCTATGCATGTCCCTAACCCTCACCCACTTCATGATGGCCATGTACTTTGTAGGAATGGATGGATGGGAGACGCGTCACTACCTTCATTCCTACTGTAGTAGGTGTGCTAGTACTGTAGAACTCACCCCTATGAAGTCTACGACTGGTACCAAATCTCAGCTACATTTACAACGTATCATAGTGCTTTTTATTGTATTCTCATTTGGCGATAATTGCTATACGTATGGTGTTCTTCTATTTGCTTTTCTGACAAACTAAATTCCTATCTTCAATTTATTTTCACTATTCAGTCTCGTCTATTTCTTTTATATAACTTATAATTGTTACCCCATCCTTCTACCTAACCCTTTGATCTGGTACCCCTGGCTAATCAATTGTAATGAGATAGTCATTCATCAAAGTTTGTTTTGTAATCAAATTATTACAATACAAATTATGCAGAACACTCTGGTTTCATGAGTTGATCTTGCACAGTAGTAGTTACATATTCCTTATCAGTCACCTAGTTGCCATGTTTGCTGGTACTTGATTCGAGCTCTCCACCATCAGTTGATGTACTATCCTCTTCGCTGTATGTGACATTCTGCTTCTTAGCTACACGTTGTATGCAAAGTTATTTTGGTATACAGTTATGTAATTGACATATTGCTATGTTTATTTACCTATCCCTTTCCTTTTCGCGGCGTGCTTCGTTCTTCCTTGTCTCTTCGGTTGTCCCTCACTATGAATCCTTGTATCCACCTCAACACCTATATATTATTTTTATGTTAACGAAGCTAACAGTTTTCTTCCAGTTTAATCTTATTTCAGTCAGGTTTGAGCCAAACTATGAAATTAGTTATACCTTTCTCATGCGCCTTGCTGGACATTTTGAAATAATCATTTCTTACTTCTGGACGACCTTCCGCTCCCTGACTTTTTCCGCTCCCACCCGCACCCGTGAACAATCTTTTGGCTATAGCTGCAAGAAGATTCAATCTTATTACATTTCCTGCACAAGTAATCGTGCTATTTTTATTTTCAGATAGTTGCCACCTTTTGGGATCCTGTTTGCAGCTCTCTTTGTCCCACGGCGCTGGTTCAGGCCTCCAGCATTTAAATTTATTCCTGTTTGCACACCCACATTGTTTCTAAAGTGTAAGTTTTAATAGTATTACACTTTCAGAATCAGTATTACATATACTAAATGGCAATCATCTTTTTCGAATTCCCTATCATTGATCTTCTATACACTATAACTGGTTTATATGAACGTTAATATTTTTCTTAGTCCTTTTTATTGTTCTTAAGATTAAATATAATCCAGCAGGTAGTTATGTTCTTTTCTAATACATCACTAGGAAATCAAATTTTTAATTATACGTTTCCTCAGAATATACTACCTGTTGGAACTGCATTGTCCTTTCCTCCCTCTTGTTCATCAATATCATCATGCCCTGCACAAATGATGCGCTCAATAGAACCATCAGTTTTTTATAATTTTTCATGTACACTAAAATCCAGAAATTAAAAATAATATATTGTTTTACCTGTTAGGTCGATAATTTCAAGATGTAATCCTTCGTTCCTGCTATTTTCAGCATTATCCTTTGACAATTTATCTGTTATTTTTGCCACAAGTTTGATTAGGATTGAACATATCATTTTCAGGATTCCTTGTTTCATCTAATTTTTGTCTGTGTGTACTTCACCTGGTTCTCCTGCATATCCTTGAGTTCCTTTTGATGTTTTCTGTCTTGTTCGCTCTCTAGCTGAACTCTTTAAGTTGTCTATAGAAGAAATATGATCCAAAATAGAATCTTAGGATAGCAGACTTTAAATTTATAGTTAGAGACATCATATATGTGTCAATGATTAAAATTTTTACTTTGATGCTGATTACCTTTTGAACATTGCTCAGTTGTATCCTTTTCTTCATTTTCTTTATCTTTATCTCTGCTCAATTTCGATGACATCCTTTTCAAAACATAGGCTTTCAATTCATCACAGTGCTTGTCACTCGAACTGCATAGTTTATCTGCGAAGTCCATTGCAGAGTTCCTGATTCTTCTTTTGTGATCTGAGTTCTGCTGGTCTATATACTCAATTACCTTCAATATTATCCAGAAACGTATTAAAAATTGACAAGCATTCTTTCATCAGGTGGAATAAATATATGTTCTTATATACTATTTTACATACCC